AGATGGACGATGGATCGAAGATTGTTGCCGAAGAGTTGCGAAAAAAAGTTTAAATAATAATAACTTTTGGTCCCAACCGAAACATAATTTTTTTTTATTATTTACTTTGAGATTCAATCACGGCGACGGCCAACGTAAGAGCGAGCGAACGAACAAATTAATTTGTTTGTTTATTTAAGTCGGGACCTGTAAAATTTTTCTTAAATTAATTTATTTATTTATACATATATTATTAATTATTAATAGTAAATAATTTAATGAGGCAATTAGCGTCTTCATTTTTTATTTATTTAAATAGTAATAATAATAATAATTAATAGTAATGGTAACAATATAATTAATTAATGGTTTAAGTACAGTGTTAACAATTTAGCCTTAGACATTATTTATATGTTTGTCTTATTTTAACCGCAATCTTCATTGTAATGTTACAATTATTTTTTATATACTTCAACTCCATTCCAAATTGGTAAAACGATTATTTAATATATAAATAATTAAAAAAAAAAATTTTTTTTTTATTCAATTCCCTGTGCTAAAAAATACCCCACAATTTAATTGTAAATTTAAAATCTTAGAGATTCTTCAATTATTTTAATCAATTAAGAAGAAAACTTTTAAAGATTCATCTTGATTTAAAAATAACAATTAAATTATTTTTAATTCTAAAAATAAAAATCTGTTTATACAAAATAAAATAATTATTTAAGTAATTGGATAACAATAAAATGTATATAAATATATTTTTAAATCTTAATTAACGAATTATTATAATTGGGCTTTTGACAAGTTCGTTCGCTCGACTAATCGTACATTAGCGCCCCGACTTATTAATTAAGTACGAGGCTATTTGTTAATAATATAAGTTAAATCCCAGTATTTAAAATTATTTTATTTACTTATACTTTTTTTTAATTATTTAAAGATAGTTATGGAGAGTAGTAGTCAAGAAGTCAAATATGGTGTCAATTTTAACATCCATTAATAAGACTATTATAATTACTTAATTTACATTTTTATAATCAAAGCAATCATAATAATAATTATAGTAATAACGACAATAATAATGTTATAAAGATGATGTACAAAATTGAAAAGTAAGGTTTTAGATTTAGATTATAGATGGAGCTAAAACACGGCTTCTCGCAAGTACTTGTTGATAAAATCCGAATATAAAACAAATAAAAGCCAATACAAGACATCAATTGTGTAATTTCATTAAACGCGTGAGTTATTAACAATAAATATTTATTTATTTATTTTAGATTTTATAATAACAAGCAGGAGGAGCTTGAAAAATTTTAGAACACATAAAAGATAATTTGTAATGCCGATTTATGAAATAATTCGTTACATTACATCGGCATTATCATTATTATTATTTATTTAATTGATATTATTAAACTATACACGGTCTACGTCTGACGCCTGGCCTGACGATCAAATAAAATAGTGTTATTTCCATTACTTTTATTTTTATTGTTAACGTCAGCCTGAATTCAGGGCAAGTTGCTTTTAAATAATTATAATTAGCTTTGTTTTTAAAGGGACGAAGCTCGATCTGTCGATCCGTATTTTCGTTGATTTCGCGTTAACACTTTTATTTATTTATTTTTTTTTTTCATTTATTTATAATTAATAATTAATAATTCATTATTAATAATTAATATTTTATTCAATAAGTATTAATTCAATAATCTTTTTTTCGCAAGTCCAATGCAATTCTTTTCCTGTCATCCATTGCAGTTGCTAATCACTCCGACATTCTCAACACATACACCCACTTGCATTAAACTAATTATCATTATTTTATTAATTTATTAATTTTAATAATTTATTATTACAATAACTTTGTTTTTTTTTTATTTAATTTTTATTTTTAATATAATATCGATTCGAACGAGACCAATGGTATTCATTACATTCGTTACATCTAAAGTACCCATTATTTATTTAAGTATGTAACGCTTTTTAATAAGTAAATTATTAATAAAACGCATACATAGATTTTTTTTCCGGCAGTTTAATTAAGTAGGTACTTCCTCTTTGTTTTTGAGGTTTAAAAGCATCGCACATTATTTATTTAATTACTTAGTTATTGGTTTTTTTTTTTTCTTTATTTCCCTTCACTACTCTAACAATTTATTCCCCCGCAATTTCTACATAAAATGGCCATCGTTAAAAGTTAAAATCTCTAAGTTATTAATTAAGTAATTAATTCTTTTCTTTTAATTATTATATTTCTTTAAAGAGCCTCGGGAAACTAAATCGACTTAAGTCGTATAACAAGAGGCGAGGCGCAACGAGGACGCGACTTTTACTAAAAATTTTTAAATTAAAAATATATATTTAGGATTAAAATTTATAATATTACTTAATAATAATAATCATAGTAATGATAATAATAATTTATAATAATAACAATAGTGCCTAACTTGCAGCCTGACAATATTTTAAACAATCAATAATAATATTTAGATTTATTTTTTAAGAGATATATTTCTTCCTCGCACCCTCGCCGCAACCGCGTGCTTAGCACAGCATTAATCATTGAATTATTTATTAAATTAATAAATTGTTTATTATTTTATCTACATTACACTCTTGGTAGCCAGTACCTTTTGCCGTCCGGAATATTCCCAAGTAATTTTTATCCCACATAATTTTTTTTATTTATTACTGTGGTAATTTTAAATTTGTGTAGTGTCAATTTATTATGTTTATTTTTTTATTTATTTAAACATTTAATTTCAATAATTATAATTAAACTCTAAATACTCATAGTAATATTGTTATTTAACCTTACGATAAATGATTAACACTTAAATGACCAATCATACTTGTTAATTAATAATTAATAATTTATAATAATAAATTTATATTTTTTTTTTTTTCGTCGCCGTGGCGCTTGGACTTGTACATGTGGATTATATCCTAAGCGTAATAATCAACGGCGATCCGCCGGCGGATACTTGTAAACAATTTTTTTCCACCGTATTTTATTTATTTGTTTAATTAAAAATTATGTAAATATTATTAACGAGCAAACATTTAGTGACAAAGTGTTGTATTTTTTTTTTTATTTTTTTTTCCCACTTATATTGAAATTTATTCTCACTATTTATTATTATTATTATTATTTTTATTATTTATAATTGTAATTATAATTTATGTTCATTCGTTAATCAACATTTTACGGTGGTTTTATTATTTATTTATTCTTCTAGTCGGCACCTCGATTTACAAGTACCCATTTATTTAATAATATTTATTACAATTTTTTATCTGCGTTTTTTTTGTTGCGGTAAGGCACCCCCTGTGCAGAATTATTCGCGGAAGTACAATGATATATAATTAACTAAATGACTAGATATTTATTTAACATATTTAATAATAATATTTAAAGTCACACAACGCTGTAGCTTTCGATCGCGCGACGGATAGGCAGGTAGATTTGTTTTTAATTATTTACTTTCAATTAAACAAACAGCCAAATTATTTATAATTAATGCGAGAGTGAGAGAGAAAGAGACTTCAGAGACTTTTTTTTTAACAATAATAAAGCTTGTAGTAATAATAATAATAATTATAATAATAATAATAATAATTATAAACAATAATAATAGTTATGGTAATAATGTTTGTACTAAAGTGTGCATGAATAACGGTGAAATCGACGGTGAGATACAAAAAGTTTGTTTTAAATAAATAATTACAGTAATAACAATAATAAAATATATTTCATTATAAATAAATCGTGTAAATAACATAAACGGGAAGGCAGTGGTGCGTTCGGTAATCTAGCTTAGTGCGACCCACCCATTAGCGATTTCGGTTTAATTTAATTTAGATTATTTATTCATGTATAAAATAATTTTTAAAACAAATTAAAAATTTTAACACTAAAAAGGCTTGATACTAAAAATAGAAGACAATTTAAAAATTTTTTAATAATAATATTAATGATCGAATATACACGGAAAGAACAAGATGACACTGGATATCATTCCAGATTATACTGAGTGAAAACAAATTTTAGGTAGTAGCTAGTATAATCCAAATTACAATGAGTATAATCCAGATTATAATAAGTATAATCCAGATACACGCAGTATAGTCTGCATTTTTTTAGCTACAATCTGAAATTTTTTTTCACCACAGATATCACTGAGTATAATCTGGGATGGTATCCAGTGTCATCTTGTTCTTACCGTGTAAGAAATATTTTTCTTTTTTATAATTATAAAATAAATAAATGAAATTTCAAAACTTCTTTTATTTATTTATAATTAAAAAAAAAATAATTAATATTAATATTAATTAATAAATTAAATTGAAGAAATGTATGTAAAGAATTTTAAAAAATATTTACATACATATCTTCATTAATTGTCAGACTTATTTTAGTATCATAAAAGTGCAAGAGTGATGTCTCCGTTGATCTCTTTCTCTTCCCTCTGGCAGTACTTGCCTATTACACTTCTATTACAATAATAATAATAATAATAATAATAATAATAATAACAACAATAATGATAATTAATAATAATAAGAAAGAGAAAAGTATTTAGTTAATGGACCGCACTATAAATAAATAAAAATGAATAATTAGCTTCATCGTCTGTGATCGCGCGCACTCGACGAGTAGTTCCGTGTTTAAGTATTTATTTATCGGTATTATATTTTACTATATTAATTATTATTATTATTAATTAATAATAACAATAATAATATAATATAATAATAAAGTATTACACTGTGACCTAAAAGTTTATCAGCACTGTCACACAAACTTAAATCACGGTAATCTGATGAGATCAATGCAATAATGGAGATGATCGTTGATGACTACCATGACCTGTTGATAAATGATGGCTGCATGACTGATGTCTGATGTCCTTAATTTTAAACGGTTATCATTAGTTTAGTTTAATAATATTTATTAGTTAAAGTTTTTTTTTTTTTATTAATTATTAATTATTAATTTTCTTTTAAATTATTTAAACCGCAGTCTCAGTATGACTGTGACTAGATAACCGCTCGACATCAATCTCTGGTATTGTCAATTCATCTGGCAAGTTGTCTGCATAATCGATGCTGCTCGTCTGTGAGTGCCGCTTACTCAGCGATGATTGCTTCCGCAGTACCTCCGCAAGGGTCAATCCACTGTGCTCGCCGTATCGCGAGTCTAGGCCCTGCCGAAATGCGTTCACTACGCGGATCTGTAAACAACAAAACAATTAGACTCTCCTCTTACATTGATGGTAAGTTTTTTTTTTTTTTTTAATTTTCAAAATTTCTTCAAATTAAATTTTAAAACAGTTTTTTTTTTTTTTTTTTTTTTTTTTTTTTTTTTTTCAGTCTATCGGATCTAAAGGAACAAGGCAGGTTTTAAATTTTTTGAGGTAATAGTCAATGCGCAATCATGCATTAGTCATGCAGTGTACGTACCATTTGTTTATAAAAACTCATATGACGTTTTTATTTGAAAAATAATAATAAATAGCGTACGTACACGATACAGCTGAAAAAAGGTATTAAATTTGATATTTCATGCACAATGCGTTGATTTATTTTCAAACCAACAATATTTTATTGTTATTTGTTATTTGATAAATTAAAACAATTATACTATTTTTAAAATTTATCTAGCTGGTTTTTAGGCAAGTACAAGCGTTTTTATTCAAATCATGCAAGAATTTTTAAAATTTATTTATTGTATAACAATAATAATACTTAAAAAGTTTTAAGCTTAATATTAATATCAGTAAAGGCTTTAGATAACTTTATAAATCTATTTTATGGAATATCTCACCCGTATCCCGTGTGCTCGCTATCATTTTCACACATTTTTTTTTATTGAATAAAAAAAGCTCTGCTTTGATAACGATTGTACTTAAAACGACTAGTGCAATAATAAAATATGTGTGCTGATATAAAAGCGGTATGATATTTAATATTTAGTGACAAGTATAATATTTGCGACTGGGTTTAAAGTCATACCAGCCGGAATTTTTCAGTAACATTACTAACATTAAGATGCAGTGCTTATTGCAGGTAACTATTTGTTTATTTAGTTTTATATTATTTATTATAAGTGTTAATTTTTTCTGTTTTTAGCTAATAGCGGCATGCACTGTCAGAGGCTCCTCGTTTGTTTGAGGATGTGTGATTAATTAGTTATAATAATAATTAATGACATAACGCGACTCAACGTCGCTAAATTGACCAGCGTTAACAACATTTATGTTTATTTTGTTACACAGTTTATGATAGAGATGCGAAATTAATTTTTTTTTTTGTAAAAAACGTGGCTTAAAGATTTTTAAGTCTAGAAGTTTCAAATTTTTTTTTTTTCATATTTGAGGTAAAGAATAAAAAAGTAAAAATTTTAAAAATCTGAATTTTTTATACAGATTTAATTTTTTTAAAAGCGCATTATCATTTTTCAATTGATGGAACTTTTTCATTTTTTATTTTTAAAATAGTAAATATTGCAAATAAAGTAAAATATTATGAAATTATTAAATTCAACCGAATGGATAATTCTATTTTTCAATTGAAAAAAGTTGAGATACAATGGTGAGAAAATAAAAAAAAAAAAAATAGTATATTTACCGATTGTATAAGTTTTATTTTTCAATGTAACTTTATGTGATTGAAAAAACATAACAGTTATTTTTTTAAACAAAAAATGAATTTCAATATTTATTCAGTTCCGGTATTGATTTTTATTGAAACAAATATTTTCTATAAAAAAAAATCCAGAAGACTTCTAGTTTATTTAAATGAATAAATTCATAAAATATAATACATAATTTTTGAATAAAAAACTTTCGCATCTCTACGGACGATTAACACAGAAGTATTTATTCATCAGTATTATCGGTAACAATGCTGTGAATAATTAGTTACCGAGTAGTGAAAAAAAAATTGATAGAAACAATATTAATAATAATAACAATAATATGAATATTAACAGTAATAGTAATAACAATAATAATAGTAATAATATTAATAATATTAATGATAACAATAAGAGAATAGCATCGAAAAATGATGGTATTGGAATATACTTACGCGTAACACGTGCACTTGCATGGCCGTTGGCTTGGAAAAAGCTTTCCGGCAAATATACTCGGCAGTTAGGCGGGTAAGTATATAGACAAGTACATAGAGTACTTGGCACGGATCAGCTGGCAGGATTACAGCGGACAAAATAAATCATGCACGCAGCGCGGTATTACTTTTCCACATTACGAATTTACAATAGTTGCAACAACAACAACAATTCAACTCAAAAGTAATAAAAATAACAAAAAAACAACCAACCGGTTGTAGCTTTTATTATTTAGTTTTTTTATTATTGTTATTACTCGAATAAAATGGGAGAAACGTCGAAATGTTGCCAAAGAACGGTTGCCATTCTTGAGTAGTTTTGACGTTGAGTTTTATCTCCATTTTTAAATTTACTATATTTCATTGTTTTTTTTTTTATTTTGTTTGTTTTACGGGATCATTTAAAACCAATTGGGCAACAAATAATCAATTATTAAATACACACACAAGGCCTCTATTTTTGAGTCACTGTCGTCGTCAGTTTTGTCTTGGCATAAACATAAATATTAATCAATTGTCACAGAACGCGAGAATGCGATCGCGTTCACTAAAGACATTTTTATTGATCATTTAGTTTAGTTTTTTTTTTTGTTTAGTTAATTTTACTTTTTGTTTTATTGGCAGTGTGTCTAGGATCTAGGAGCATTGATACAAACAAGCACTAGAGTGTATTTTAGATTTTTTTACAATAATAATATAAATAATTATCATTATTATTATTATTATTATTATTATTATTTATTAGATAGGTAACTAAATTAAGTATATAAGAGTTAATGTTGTGGTAAAGGGCACGATTTAGTTATTTTATTAATTGTATGAAGAATTTTTTTAGTTGTTAATTAAGCGGCTAATTATTTCTTAAATTTTCGTTATAAATAATTAAATTATTTTAATATTTTACTGTTAAAATTTAATTATAATTTTTATTTTAAATGTTTAAGTATAAAAAGAACATTTGTTTTTTATTAATAAAATTGATTTTAAAATTTTTTATAGAAAATTTATTTCTATGCAATAAAAATATTTGCTTTTATCGACGAAGTAATGAAAAAATTAAATTTGTTTACGTAAAAAATTTATTATTAAATAAATTATAATTATTTTATCATTGCAATGAATTAAATTTTTTTTGTAAACAATTATAAAATGTAAAATGTAATTTAAAATTTTATAAAAAAAAAAAAAAATTGTTAATTGTCGTCATTAATTACAAGAAAAAATTAAAATTTCCAAAGTTAATTTTTAACTTATAAATAACAGTTCATTCTTTTAAAGTATAAACTTCTCAAAAGTATGTACATTATTAAAGTTTGTCCTAAAAAAAGATTAATTTTTCAAGGTTTTACATCTAAAGTTAAATTTGTTGAAAATTAATCTATAGCCTCATTAATAATAAACCAATCAATCCATAACTCTCTGAAACTTCGGAACAATTTTCCGGAGTACTAAAAAAAAAAATTTTATTCTTTAATTATTCTTCTAAAAATTAATAACGCTATTTATATTCCATCCACCGCTAAATTATTAATAATATCAACACATAATTTTAATTTTAGTATTAAACTAATAAAATTCCAGTATGAATTTTCCCTTAAAAAACAATCTTTATTGCAGCAATAACTATGTCATTTTAAAAGTGTATATTTTATTAAAAAATACCCAGCGTACTTTATAGTGGAATTTTAATCGTTTCATTACCGAAGTAATTTATCGTCATAGAGATTAAATTCCAGAAGGTATTTTAAAATATGTTCGCAATAATTTATCGTATTTAATTTTTTAATTACTCTAAAGTGAGCAGTCGATAAAGCAAAAAAAAAAATAAACTTTAACAAAGCCAGTATTTTATAAAACCTCAGTAATTAATTTTCCTATTTACAACGAAAATTTAAGCGTTAAATATAAATAACGATTGCATCGACAGCGGTCTTAAAAAAATAATGTAAGCGAGTCGCTAAATTTATAACGAGCAGCGATTGTCTATTGTAATCTATTTATTTAAATACAAAGACTCTTAGAAGGGAGTCTTTGTACTATTGCAAATAATAAAATTTAATCATCCGTGTCTAGACTATAGCTTCGCGATTTTAAAATTTATATTTTTTATTATTTACAATAATTAATCCGTGGATTTATTAATTAAAAAAAAAAAATAAAAAAACAGTCAAGACACAGTTGAGTTAAAAGCAGGAACCGTTGCACACGACAGTTTTTAAATGCAGACACAGCACAGAAGTTTAATTAATAAAAATAATAATAGTAATTAAAAAAATTGGAAGACAGCGATTGTAATTAAAATAATGGTTATTTATAATTACGACGGTGGGTAAATAAAAATATTGACAAAGCAGGTTAATAAATAATAACTTTAGCTGGGTGTTAATAAAATGAATTAATTAGTAAAAAGTAATAATAATAATTATAATAAAGAAGCAAAGTACTGAACAGTCAGTAAAAGAGCAGAGTAATAATGAATATTTAAATAATATAAGTAGTAATTGTTAAGAAGAAAAGAGAATAGAGCAAAGAGTGAGAGCAAGAGAGGAGCGCTTACAGCTTGGTCTGTCGAGCTCTTGCTGTAGGGTACCGGTATCAAACGTTCCTGGTACTCGCCACCTATCACCTTCAAGAGTAAAGGGTAATATAATGGTTACAACAGGGTGGCATGACCAAAGTGACAGAGATCTAAGTATATATTATATAGATGTAGATAGGTTTATAGATATAGGTCTAGATATGTGAGATAAGAGTGGACCTGCTACAAGTCAAGTGAAGTCACGTTACTCTACTTTTTTTTAATTTTTTTTTTTTTTATTCAATATTTATTTTAGTAATTATTTTATTCAATTTAATTATACTTTATTTGGTAATTAGGTTCTAGAAGGGACATTAGTTTCTACTTATGCCTTTTTAGTCTATGGTTGCTATTGTAATAGTTTTCTAGCTTAGTTTGTTGGTAAGTAGTGTTAAATGGGAGAGAATTAAAAATAAAGGTTTATGTTTATTAGAATGAAAAGTATTATAAGTATTAATTTTGTAATCAGACGCATCCTCTCTCCTGTGTAAAGAATTTACCTGAGCTAATTTTTATAGGGCAGAGTTGTTTATAGCTTGCGGATAATAGTTTTGTTAGTTAGTTAGTTAAAGAAGAATATGAAAATTTGGGTTTTAATTATAAGTTTTTTTTAAATATGTTCAGTAATAAATATGTAGAAAAAAGTAATTATGTATTTTTGGCAGTAAAAAATTTTTATATAAATTTATAAAAAAAAAATTGATTTTTTTTTAAGATATAGTAATTGGTATTTATTAATTATTGTTAAAAATTTTTTCTTTACATTTAAAATCATGATAATTGATTAATTAATTAATTAATTTATTTATTTATTTATTTATTAGCAAATATTATGTAGCTTTTATTTGAAGCAAATGTTGAATATTAATAAATATACAAAGTTAAAGTTAGTTAAAAAAAATAATATTCTTAACTTTTAGATATTAATATTTTGTTATTTTTTTTAACTTAAAAATCAAGAGTTTTAATTTATAGAATCTCTATTGGCATTGAGTATCGCTTCGAAGGCTCCAGACATCTAAACTTACTTTAGATGCAAGTAGTTAAAAAGAAGTCCAGTCTGGCACGATAAAACCGATGCGTCAACGTCAAATAGTCGCGTCTAAAAGTTTTACCAATAAAATTATAACAATAACTATAAACTGAATTTTTATCCACCGAAAACAATTCATTATTTTGTTAACTAATAAAAAAATTAATCCAATTTAGAAATTTATTTTTAACAAAGATTTTTTAAATATCAATAAAATTTTTTACAGCCGAAAATACATAATTGCCCTTTGTAAAACCTAAATATTAATGAATATGCCATTTTTAAATAAAAAAAAAATATTAATAACAATAAACATAAAAATTGTAAGTAACTTACAAAAATAAAATAATGATATTATATAGACATATGTTAGGTGATTAAATTAAGTGTAAAGAGAAGGGAGTGTCCACGTAAGAGTTAAGCGAGCGAGCAGGCAAATAGTAATTGTATTTATTAAATTAATGTACAAAGAGCAACGATAATTGTTAATTATTAATTTTTAATCTTAACTTATTATTTAATATTCTTTAAATTGTTAATCTTTGCGCTTAGCGTCGCGTATTAGCGGGTTAAATCGCGAGGAGATGTAAGAGGGTGAACAAGGTCTGGTTGGGAACTTAGGGCGCAAAGCGATCGATGTTAATGACGATATTGAATTTTAAATTATATTAGTTAATAAATAATCAGAGAGTATTTGAGTTATGGAATAATAAGTGATAAGAATGATAATTATAAGTAGTAATAATAATAATAATAATAATAAAATATAAAAGTAGTTTTAGTAATTATATTAAAACTGAAAATAAAATTAAAATAAAAATTAATAATAACAATAATAATAATTATAATATAGATAATAATAAAAAAAAAGAGGAGGCGGCTTGTGTTATAGTCTTCAGCGAGCCGAATGCGCTTCTCGTGGATTAACTATGAGACAATAATAATATCCAGGTTACGCCGATCAATGGGTCTTCAAGGTCCAGTTAAGTCCGAGGCCGAGTATTTTTTTTTTTTTCAATATGTTACATTGTTACAGTTTAGATATATATATTTTTTTTAGATTTATTTATGTATGTATTTCGTCATCAAGAGTAATTGATAGTGTTTCCTTGTTTTGTATTGTATTTAGAAAAATTAATTAATTAATTAATTAGTGGGAAGTCATTAAAAGATAAACTGAAATCGGCGATTGGAAAGTGGAATTAAATGTTTATATAAATTGAATACTGTTGTGGTATTTACAAATAAAACTATTTGGCGTATTAAATATATTTTTTATTAATAATGCGGGATTTATCTGTGGTTTGTCTTTTTGGGTAAGTTGCTTTGTATAAAGCAGATGGTATATAATAATACAGATTATTTAAATCCGGTCGAGGTCTGTTATTTAATGAACTATTGATTAATTATTTTAGTTATAATTTATATATGTATATTAATGATACGTCGCGCGTTAATATTCAATAACGGACGTAACAGAAGTATCGAGCTTTAGATGTTTACAATTTTAACTAAGCGGCTGATTATTTAAAGCTCAGCCGACCTTGCTTATATGTTAAGTACAATATTACTATTTTTTTAATCATTATTTTAATTTTTTTAATTATTGTGTTTTAATATTCTAATTTTTAAATATCTTTTACAATTTTTTTAAATTATAAAAAAAGAAAGCATAAAAACTAAAAATTTTTATTAAAAAATTACTTTTTTATGTGCAAATTACTTGAAGTTAATTTTTTAAATGACAATTATATAAATTGTGTTTTTATAAAAATTATAACAAAGAAAATTTTTTTTTTGGTTTTAGTTATAAATACCACTAATAAAAAAAAAAAATTAAACATCTCCCCGGGGTCGCGATGAAATCAAATTACTTTTATTATCACACGCGGTATTTTTACTTCAAATGTCTAGACAATTTAAATGGTATAAAAAAACGCCTGTCATATCATAAAACAGCCCGTACTGTATACATGTCAGAGTCAGGTTAATTAAAGCAAAAAAAAAAAAAACATTTAATAACTGGTAATTGGTACGCCGATAAAATTATAATATTAAACGCAACGCAAGTCGTTAAAAAAAAAAACAGTAAAACCTAGTGCGCTAATTAAAATTGCATGGTTGTTATTAATATATTAACCCGTGTTTTTAATTCCGTAGATTTTTCGATGCACTATATTCCTTTTAGTACCGAAATAATTTTTTTTTACAGTAAACCAAGTTAATTATCGTCTAAAAAATTAAATAGTAAATATAAGTGTATTAATCAAATAAAAACCCTTATTTCGCGTACTAATTATTTTATTATAATTATAATTATAAATAATATTTAATCAGAGTTATTGATTTAATGAACGTATTAATAATAATAAAAAGAAAGAAAACAAATATTTTAAATGAACAAACAACTTATGAGAACTATATACAAAAAAAAAAAAAATTACTTTTATTACAAATAGAAAAAAAAACGTAAATAAATTTGTTTTTATTATACATATAATTAGTTAATTAATTCATATAAGTAAGTATTATTTATGGTCTTTATGATTTTGATTGTAAAATCTCATTTATTGTTTGTAATAGAATTTCAACGTTTTTTTTTTTTTTTCAACATTTTATTTATTATTTATTAATAAATTTATATATTTTGCCAAGAGACGCGATCTTTAAACATATATATTTTATTTATTCAATTATATATTTAATCAACTCCCACGTATTCACATTAAGTATTAATTAATAATAATAATATAATATTTCATTAATTATTAATATTTTTGTTCGTTTATTAACTCTTGGACATTAACGTAACAGTGGCAGTAGTAGATATTTGGATTAATAACGGTTAGATAAAAAGATTCATTTGTTTTTATCTTTTCATACACTATACATATTTCATTATCGACTAATTTTATTTTTTATTTTATTAACCATTTAAATTTAAATGTCAAATTTATTTGACGTATCAATTATTCATTATTCGTATTTGTAATTAATTCGAACCCACCCATTTCTTAAACTATCTCACTCTCGATTCGTCAGTTTTTTTTTTTTTATCCACGAGTGTGCCGCTATTATCTCGAGTAATTTCAAAATATAAGTACATTAAATCGTTTAAATTTAAATATTAATTAGTAAGATAAAATAATATATTTATATACTCCACTGATTTTAAATCGAGAATGAGATTAAAGTCTGCATTGCAGATATCTGAATTTTTTCAAATAAAATGAAAATATATTTCTTTTCGACTTTTGTATTTTTTTTTTTACTTTTTTTTTTCTTTTAGATTTTTCTGATTTAAAAGTTTTGGCACGCTGCATCATCGCGCTTCCGCTAGCCCTTATTTACTTCACCTATTTCTGCTACTTTTGTTCCTTAAAATTTCAGATTCAAAATTCAAAACTTCCCAGGCTAAAGAAACGCGAGATGCCGGCGCTTAAAAGTCAAATTATTAATGACAGTATTTTTTTTTATATATTTTCAAATCATAAAAATAATTATTAATAATATTAAACATTAAATATAAAATAAATACAATTTAAAGTATAAAATATCTAAAAAAAAAAAAATAATTACGCAAAGTTACTTTAAATTTACCATCATCGAGAATCGAACTCAAGTCGCCCGAGTCGTATTTTTATAGACTTTTGCCTTTCGCCAGACGTTAACAGTCATTACTAAGTAGCGTAATTATTTTTTTTTTTTAATTTCTTACAAATAAAAAAATGCATGCACAATTTATAGTACACTGCTTGTTTAATTTAAAACTTTTAATAATAATTAATTTAAAAAAATAAAATAAAATTATACAATAATTATAAATGAAACAATTATTCTGTCATTATTGACTTTTAATAATTAGCAATAAAAAATTATTAATGTTTATAGTATTGATTAAAAAATCGATGCTTTTTATTATAATTAAAATTAACAAATATGGCGTGGGGGTCGGTGGTTACCCAGTAATAATTTAATTAACGGAAATGAGCCTTAGCCGCGACGCGTTTCGAGC